AACAGAACTTTAAAGCTGTGATTGTAGGCAAGCCCATCCTATACAATCAGATGCTAATCTGATGTTATGGTCTTGCAAATTAAAGTGATTATCAGAAACTATAATAAAGGGTAATGTTTGTTGGGTTACAGGAACTGTTCCAAGTGCTTTACTTGGATTATTTCACTTAATCCTTCTGTAATTCTGTGCAATTGGCAATATAGTTATTCCCCATTTCGTAGATGCAAATAACAAGGCTTGGTGAAACTTGCCCCAAATCACAAAACTAGTAAACAGTAGATTTGGATTTGAACCTATATTAATTTAAAGGCAAAAAACCTATGATCTCTGCTGTTTGTCACATCACCAGCCCCAACTAGTGTACTATTTTGATATCACAGCTGTCACTGTGAGGCCCCTGCAATGATTTTGCAGCATACACCAGTCACAGGGTAACCAACTAGCAAACATCACCAGCATCACCAAAAACTGAATGGCTCTCTGAATATATGAGAGAAAGCTGATTAGAACCAACCTGCAATACATTCACTCATAGGCAAAATATGGCATTGCCACCATATTGGAGACACCATAACAGGGTAAGAAGGGAGAAATGTTGCTTGGTTTTGTGTCCCTCACATGCCCTAAGTTTGGGTTTGCTGCACAGAAAAATCCCAAGATATGTTTGCTGAAATGGGAAGATTTTGCTTCATGATGTTATTGCTTGAAATTATACAATGAATAATGCTTTCATTTGCTAAACAAATAAAAGTAAGTCAGAAAGGAGGTCTTCTTTGTGTCAAAGAATTTTTATCATCTTCACTAACATTTCCCTTTGAATGTCCAGTCAGACTGGATAGGGGAAATTTTAGCCTTCACAGGGGAAAGGTATCCTTAGTCAAACAAAGAACCTAGGAGGCCTAGTGTGATTTTTGACATGTCAAAAACCTAGAGAAAGTCAGAGGAGGACAATGAATATTCATGTAAGCAGGAGGGACTAGTGAAAGGCTTAGTGGACTTTGCCTTTCAAATTCTGGTACACTGTTGGAGTTTGACATCATAATGTTATGAACAAATATCTATTCACATTTTTTGGTTCAGCTCACTCTCTACACAGTTTATATGACATCTAATAAGGTATATCCAACATAAGATAGCATATGAGCATGAGCAAGATTATCTACTAAAATAGGAGACGTCAGTGTAAAACCAAAAAGTATGCACTGAATTCAACAAATATCTAAGAAATAAGGCCTTTGCTTACAATATCCAGGCTATTCTCTAAAACTCTGGCTACTGATAATCCTTCATGAGAAATGCAGAACAAAACTCTAATAAATGTTAGAAACATCAGTTACATCTACAGAACTTGGAAAAGAGAATGAGATGCTATAATATGGAGAGAGAGAGTGAGAGAGAGAGGGACGGAGGAGAAGAGGGAGAGAGAGAGAGAGAGAGAGAGAGAGAGAGAGAGAGAGAGAACGTGTGTGATCAAAATCATGAGAGACGAAGGGATGAACCTGGACAAATAACTAATTCTATTAAATGAACTACATTCCAAGCTCCTATTTAGCTTCTCTAAAACACCTGATACTAAACCAGTTGTTTAATTTACTCCCTGTACGGATGCTCACAAGAGAGAAATGTATTTTATTAACATTTCTATAAAAAATGGCAATTATGAACATACTTTATACCCTTAAATTTGAATTTTACTTCTGTGATGAGCCTAGATCATTGAGAATTTCAGCTTGTAACTGGAAGAACAAGGCTCTAATGTGTGAAAACACATTTCTGTAAATTGCATTCATTACAAGCATCACTTTCTATCACTAAAGGGAAACTAGAATGAATAATTATTCTCATTGGCTATGTTTCATAACTGGTCCTATGGAAAAAAATGCATGAAACAACATCGACTCGAGAAAGGTTTGGTTGTTGCTTAAAATCATATCAGACATTTTAAAAATTGTGTTTGTATAATAGTTGGGTGAATTTTTATGGCACAATTTTATTCTTTTTCTTTTCCCTACAGAGTGTGGGCTTTTATTTTCTTACTCTCCACCTCTCCACCACAAAGTGCTTGCCGCGGCCTACCACAATCTTCGCCCCCAACTCCAAACACTGAACGTAGTTTAAGAAAGGATGGCATCTGTTTCCCTCAGCACCCCAGGGTGAAATTTTAAAAAGCACTTCTCATCATGCCTTCTGCAGGTCTGAGAAAGCATTTGGGGCCCTAATGAAAATTTCAGATTGGCAGTGTGTATGATGGGAATGAGCAATTTGTTCCCTTTTCAATAATCGAGTAAAAAACCATTACCTTTGCAGAATAGGTTGTCTTAAATTTATAGTTCGTTTCTTCTTCATAGACTACTTAACAAGTCAGTCTGGTGATCGTCACAAATGCAGTTAGAATTCATTGCAAATGCCAATCAGTGGCTGGTGAGTCAGATCTGATCTGATGGCAAAAGCCAGGCCAAGGCTGTTTCAGGCCCTTCACTGGGGAGACGGACAGCCCACCTGGGCATCCCAGGGCATGGCATGCCCTTGTTCTACAGAGGAATTCTTTTTGTTTGTGAATTATCCATTTCTACCATTAATTGTAATTCTAGCACAGTTTTTATTTGGAGCCTATCTTTCCTTCCTTCCTTCCTTCCTCCCTTCCTTCCTTCTTTCCTTCCTTTCTTTCTTTCTTTCTTTCTTTCTTTCTTTCTTTCTTTCTTTCTTTCTTTCTTTCTTTTCCTGATCAATGAAAATAAATGTAGGAGCCCTTTCCTGAGAAGAAAAGAAAGCAGAGAACATTGGGCAGGAAGAACAGGGAGAAAAAAAACTTAAAAATAAGGATCCCAGAATTAAACAGAAACTTTGAGTCCCAACAATTTTTGCATAAGATCATCTCTTGCACAAATCTACAATGTTGAACTTTGCCAATGCGAGTTAACTAAGGGCATACAGGGGAAGGATTACTCGCTCTTTTGTTATTTCTGAAACCTGAACTACTTTTGGAAATAAGGACTGGAATGTTCCATAGGAACTTGGAGCATGGGACATAGGGGCATGGCACACATTCAGTGTAGGCTATTTAAAAACCAGTTCCTTGGCTTCCCTCTGTGATTCTAAATACAAGTAATCACATTACCCTGCAGCAGCCGGTAACTATTTCTATAACATTGTCCAACATCTGTGCTTGTCACCCAGGAAAAACAAAGTGGAGATGTGCAAACTGATTAGGTTGATCCGTCCAGTCTTTCTGTGCCACTTCTAACACCTACCTAGGCTTGGAATATGAGTGACTGGTTTGTGTTCACTGAACTCTTCTTGAATTTTAAGGAGTGATCTATTTAACTCTCCTGGGTGAATAAAGATGCCTTAGCTCACCAAAGGATGCTTATAAAATGAAACATTCATTTATTTAACAAATGAACGAATAAGCACAATTTATCACTTTCCCAGGTACAACAAATGTAATCCCAGGATTAGAGATTGTCCTTTTCTATGCTTCAGACTCTATCTTTTGGGGGATTTCTTTGATGTGTTAACAGTTTCCCTAATCACACCACTGGCCCATCAATCAGATAAATCCCTTAGGAATATTCTACTCAATTGTTAACCATTCAACCACATTAGCTAGAGAAAACATTAGCCAACATTGTTATATAATGGTATAGAACCTCATCAGATTTGTGAATTAGTCGAACCACTTTTAGGCTTTTATTTTCCCATCTAAACAAAACAATAACCAGTGTGATCTTCAATTCTTTAGCTTCATATACATATAAAAACATCACCTATTATAGACCATGTAACCATTCTTCTCATACCCTGTGCTAAGCATTTTATCTACTTAATCTTCCTTAACTCTGACAACAGCCATTCAGAGTTCCCACTTCCATTTTACAGACAGGGATATTGAGGCCCTGGGAGAGCAAGTCATTTGCACCAGATCACAACGCTAGTTTCTAATGAATTGTGAGGGGAGATTTGCATATAGATCTCTCCTGAAGTCATACTGCTTGACTCTGCATATTTAACCTCAAGCAGCCTAACTGACCAGTTAATACAAGTAAACAGACAGAAAAAAAAATAGTCGTAAAACTTGCATCCTGAATCAGGCAGTTGAGAAAATCAACATTTAATTTATTACACTATCAACCCATCTGTTAACTCTCTCCTGGATCCATGTCGCTACAACCATCTACTGTGGCCTGATGCTTACCTGAGCACAGGGGGAGATGGAGGCTTTTGACCCACACATGGTCCAGGTCTAAGAAGTGGCACTCCAACTACCAGAGAGTCTGCATCTGACCAAGTCATACATGTTACATTATGGCTGCAGAAATATCTGATTTCTGGTCATTTTTTTTTTAGTTTTACTATTTTTAGGCAGAGCCTGAATGTATGGTTCCCTTGTGGCAACTTAAAACACACAGCAAAGACTAATCCTGTGCATGATTCTGTATGAATATTTTCTTTTCCTCCTTGTAAGGGAACTAGTTATGAATTAGGTAAAATGAGAAAACAGCTTCCTGAAAACTAGTATTTTAAGCAATTACCTAGAAAGATTGCAACTTCTCTCCCCCCTCACCCCAATCCCTGGTAAGTCATACAGAGTAGCAGGCTGCCCCATATCCCTGGAGATAACATCTTGAACGCATATGGTATGTTCGGTTCTGTCCTGACTAATTCAGAAACTCTGAGGCAAAATCACCCAAGTTCCCAAGTCAAAAATGAAAGTAAAATAGTAAAATGGAATTGTGATCATTGTTGCAACATTTCAACAACTTCAAAATTAGCCATGAAAGTAGGTAGCATTACAGGTTAGCACATTTATCATTGCAAGAATCAACCTGCACCCCGTGTCAAGTCGCAAACAAACCCATCTACCTCTCACTTTACTGATCTGCCTTTTCTTTCCAGAAATAGAATCACATTGGACAAATTTAATGTTGAGATTGTTTTGCTAGAGGGCTTATTCAAATACATGCTATATTAAAAATAGTCATGATATAAATATTTCTCACAAGAGCTGCAGCGATGGTGTGAATAAAAAACTCCCTTCGGAGATTTCAGTAAAACCAGATCTCACAAAGGATCTGAAAGAAAACAAAACAAAACAAAACAACAGACAGACACACACAAAGAGAGAGAGACACACACAGAGAACAAACCTTATGTTAATCCGGTTTAGCATAACAGTCACTATTTTGACACTATTTTATGAAGTACTGTTCCTTTTTAGATGTTCCTTTTTAGATGAAGTAGGAGAGAAGAATCTGCTACAGGTTTCTCATAATAATGTTCAAGGGTGGGGAGTATCTATAACCATGTTCCATAGCAGCTAATTAAAAAAAAATCAAAATTTCTAAATGCAGCAAAATGTTAGTACTATCAAAAGGCCAAGCGTGCAGGAAGAATCTCCCTCCCTCCCTCTCTCTCTCTCTCTTCTCTCTCTCTCTCTCTCTCTCTCTCTCTCCCCATGCCTTTCTACCCAGACACACAAGCCCCCAAATAAATCGGCTGGAATCTTTACATCATAAATTAGATATCAAAATGCTTACGGGCCTTACAATGAGATAACATCAGGAGGAACGGTGCGTGGAATGGATCTGGCATTCTCACATAAAGCATTATCTTTGGTACAAGTACACACGGCAGGGCATTTTGGCTTCGCTGGTTTCTTCCCCTCAGTCAGCAAAAGCGCAGATAAGAGACATAGGAAATAAGCAATTCTTTTCAGGGGGATGCAGGCATTTCCCATCCTTTGGCTTCTCTCTGATTCCATGCAGCCGAAAAAATATCCCCAAACATGAACAGGGCTTCTGGAATTCAGATGGTGATTATCTTGCTCTAAGACCAGGTCACAGAGGAGTCCACCCTTTTCCTTTGCCTCTGTATATCTGCTTTTCAAAACAGGGACCTGCAGCTGATTCGTGAGCTGCTCCTCGCTCCAGCAATGCACTGCTCGGGGAAGAGACCTGTGAGGTGCTGTGAGATGGGAGGGATCCAACTGCTGGAGGAGAGAGTCGACTTGCATCACCACGAAAACACTGAGCACAGACCAGCCTTCGAAGGCAAAGTGAAGTGATGTAACAGAAAATAAACAGCTTTCTGCTTGCACCGGGAGGCCCTTTAATTGTTACCAAAAATAGGACGGCATTATGTCTTATTAGTGGGTGGGTGGGAGGGTGGGTGGGAGCAGGCATCTTGCATGGGATCTCAGCGATCTCAGAAACCTCTGGGAATTTGCTTTTCATGTGGCAAACAACCTACCAGGAAAAACTCGCTTTGGAGCCAGCCCTGGCTGGAAAAACGAAGTTAAATGAAACTCTCTCCCTCTGCAGCATTTGGCTAAAGCCGTGGCACTGCTTGCTGAGCTCACCTGACCCGGCCATCGCTGAAAGACAAATAAGAACACATGGAGAAGCGTGACTTTCAGGGCATGAATGTGAGTAAATACTTTTCTGACACTTATCAACGGGGCATGAATGATTGGTTTTCAGAATCTGTTTCCCCCACCCCACCCCCACCAAGTGTAATTCATTCCTTCCTTCCCTGGTGAGGGAGGGAAAGAGAAGCCTGACCTGGGGAGATTATGCCCTCTCAGCTTCTGCATGCTACTCCCTTCTTTAGCAAGAGCACCCAAAGCCTGCAGGAAGCTCCCTGCTAGCAAGAGGCAGCTGACTTTGGCTTCCAGGGTTTTGCAGAAATCCTGCCTAGAGCCTAGACGGTTATGGTGGGGGGTGGGGGTGGGGGTGCAATTCAACTGACAGTCAAGAGACCTGTTTCTAAGGTTCCAGTTTTGCCATGAAGTGAAGGATGTGATCTCTGCCTCTAATTCCTCATCTGTGAAATGGGGATGATGATAGGGCTGCCCCATAAATATTATGAGCAGCAAATCAAAATGGCAGGCTGTGTGATATTATTATCATTTTGGGTGAGATAGAGGTGCAGACTTGGATAAAAGATGAAAAGAGAAAGAGGCCCTGGCCGAGCGAGCAGGGCACTACAGTCCTGGGAAGGCAGGAAGATCCTGAGGTTGGAGGAAGAAGACAGAAATTGATCCTTGGTCCTCCCTTGTACCACAGCTAAAAGCATTCAGTTCCAGGGAGCATGAGGGACTCAGCTCATGGCCCAAGTCCCTGATTCATGGTTCATGATGCAATCAATCCAGGGATAAGTCATGAAAGGAGTGTTAAGGCAAGCAAATGAATAGGATCTAACTTCAATCTCTCGAATGAACTTTCTCACCTGGCCTCTGGTAGTGGACCTCAGGCATATCCCAACCACTTGGCTGGTTTTCTGAAAGCACAGTCCAGTGGAAGTCCTGCCTCTTCTTAGATTTGATTTCTGCCCCTTCCCCCAAAAGACTGTAATGTCAGGAAGGAAGAACCCCACTGTTAATTCAGTGGGGGTTGGTGGGGTCACCCAGATTCGCCTAGAGACTGAACACGGTCTGGACATGCACATCCTAAGAAGTTTCATGTCACACATCCAGTTATAGTGAAGGTATTGACCTTGTCAAAAAAAAAGTCAGGGGGCATGCAATGGCCAGAAGGAGTAATTACTGAGGCCCTTTCATCCTGAGGGGAATGGAAGAGAGAGCTGAGGAGAACAAACCACATGTGTCCAGCAAGGTCTGCAAAGGCCTGTCCACTGGAGGAAAGAGCTACGGGCTGTATTCACCCATCTGCTGTTTGAGGCAGATGGGTAATATCTGGACTGTATTTCCAAAGAACCAGGAGTTTATTTTCAGGAAGCCAGCTTTTGAGAGTTTTAGAAGTATACTCATTTTTATATAAGGGCAAAAATCTCAGTTTAGGGGAAATAATGGTTCTAGTATCATCCTAATGCTTTACTTTTCCGGATTCTGTAGTGCAGGAGTATTTGATAGATATTTTAGAAGCCTTGACCTATAGGTGAGTTCCACTTTATTTACTTCTTTTTAATACTCCTGATGTTGCTGTAGGGAGCATGAGGTACCAGGAATTCAGACCAGGGTTCCTACATACAAACATGCATCCCAACCCTTTGAGCGATGTACCTAGCCCAGCGAGCCCCACTTTACACAGCCAATATGACACTTAAAAGTTGGCTGCAAGTCACATTTTTGAAAATTTTATCCTGCTTCAAATGTATAGGAAAACTTGCTACAGGGAAATAATTTTGTGGTGAAGATTGAATGAAGAATCGTTTTTATTCACTCACCTAGCTCCTAAATGATCAGACATAAAATCATGTGTTCATGATAAAATGAAGCTTTTGAGCACTTTGTGAGGCATCTCAGAGTCCTTAAATTTAATGTCTGCATATTTTTAGATGGGGAAACTGAGGTACTGAGGGGTCAGTCATCCAGAAGTTTGGTGACACAGCCTCCACTGCATATGTGGATGCTGGCAGATATTTGACTAGATTGGTGAATGGAGTCTAACATAATTCTCTTTATGCTTCACTTTTATATTTTTTAATTTTAAAATGTTTAATTGCTTATTTATAAATCAAATATGTATATATACTACTAAACCTAAAAGTTTAGGCAATTACTGCCTCTTTTTTGATCAGGGTTGCTTGAGCCGCCCTTGGCTTTGTGCTTTGCTGACACATTCAAAGAAAGGGGGAACAGTTTTTCATTTTGACCTAGTAAAGTCAGGAGGACTAATGAATGAAGGAAAGAGATCATATCCACAGCTGCTCGCTTTGCAGCTGTACTTCTCTGACATGTTCGGCCTGCAAGTTTAAGTAGCAAAAGGACCATTCTGGGGCAAAACTCTAAGGACAAATTACAATTGAGCATTCTGAAAGGACAATAACGTTTTCTTTTTCTATGGCATTTAAAGCCTTGATTTGAATTCCCTCATTCAATGGAAACACCCACTAAGATCAGGCAAAGTTTTAACCTTGTCACACGCGAAGCTGAGAGTCTTTACAAGGAGGAGAACCACTCTTTCACTCCAGAGTTGGATCTGAGGAAAGTTGCTGCATGAAATTGTGGAAAGGGTTGCAAGAGGGTGTTGATGTAGCTGCTGATGTTGTTTCCTGGGTGACTCCTCCTCCCAGACGGTACACAGCGAGGATGTAAAGGGGGAGAGGGTGCAGATTTAGGGGTTCCAGCTGCCTTGGAGGCCCTATGATAAGGTTTGGCAATGTGTATGTGTGGGTAACGGATTGGGGCAGGGCCTTGGGAGAGGGGCCTAAAAGGATGAAAGCAGAGCTGGAAGGAGGCCCAGGGAAGCCGGGAGAGAGGCCTGGCTGAGACCGGCTCAGTGCCCAGTCTCCGTTCTACAGAAACAGCTGAGCAGGACCTGGGGTTGGCTCTGCATTCTGCCAGCCTTGTGACCCTGACCTGGCTACTAACCTTGCTAAACCACAGCTTTCGCCTCTGTAAATCGAGACCATTCATTGTATGCATCACATGAAATCATTGCGCAAAGTCACTATAATCGTGTGAGGTGTGAGACGGGGAAAACTTGTCGCCATCCTCCTAATATGTGTAACAGAACTGAATTTGGGACATGTGACCCCAGTACCTGGGAAGCAACACCGTCACATAAAAATGGTTGCGCTAAGTCTGTGTTCACTCTAGAAAGCAAACCCGTCTGGGCTGGATGACAGACTGTGGGCCTGCCAAAAGCCTCTTCACATGAAGCAACCACAGCATCTCCTGGGAAGGAAAGATCCCTGCACTTTGGAGGAGAGTAGGAATAGTTCCTGCCCCCTGCCCCCTGCCCCCCTGCCCGAGGACAAGGTCCCAGAGGGACGAAAGGAAGGTGGATGCGGATACAGAATGGAGATTCTATTTTCAAACCACTGCCCCTGAATGTATGTAGAGAGGGTAAGAAGGGTCAACTTTGGATACCTGTACCAAAGAGGGTACTCCGTACTTTGGCAGACACTTTGGCAGAAGCAGGTATTTGTGTGTGTGTGTGTGGGGGGGGGTGGGCACGCTCTTCCTCACCCAATGTGCAATGGCACCAGAGGCGGCTGGAGGGATGTGACATTAACAGTATCTCCATCTGGGGTCTCAGGTTAGATGGCACTGAGGTCAGTAGGAGCAGACAGGACAGAAACTGTCAAATGGTCCTGACAGTGAACAGGAGAAGCTCTGGAGTGATGTTTGGGAGCATAGCACAGCGTTCCCCAGGCCTTCTCAAAAGTTGGGCAGGGTCTTGGAGGGGGGCCTGAGATTCTGGGAGAGCTGTTGAAAGCGGAGAAAAAGAGGAACAGCCTGTGCCTGGGTTCTGATCCCAGTTTTCCCCTCAGGCTGGCGTGGCCTAGGAAACACACATTGTGCAAGTAAACAAATCGTTATTTTGGGCCTAAGAGAAGCCAGCTCGGCCCTGCCTCCTTTTACAAACACTCAGACATGCAAACTGGTGTCAGTTTAGGCAGCCTTTTCGATAGGACAGGGTCTTTTCGAAACTGTGGGTCAGATTCATTATTAGATCCCCAAGTCTCTCTAGTGAGTATAAGCAGACTTTTAAGGAATGACATAGTTTTAAATCCGAAATTGATAATACTGCATATATATTATATATTATTATATAATTATATAAAATATTAATTTGCTCGAGCGGGCCCAGTAACGTCTCCATTGGAGACTTTGTTGTTACTGTGTCTGGCATATCGAATACTCTCGGTAGCTTGCCGGGCTCTCCGAGAGGGGCGGAGGAATCGAACTCGGGTTGGCCATGTTGGCCGCTTGTAAGGCGAACGCCCTACCCGCTGTGCTATCGCTCCAGCCATATTAATAATATTATAATCAATATTATAATTAATAATGATGTTATAATATTAATAATTAATAATATTAATATATAATATGCAGTATTATCACTCATATATATCAATATGAGTCACCCTGGCCTTTCAAAGCCTTTGTTTCATGTAAGTATGTGAGTGTGTGTGTGTGTGTGAGTGCGCGCGCACATGCGCACACAGGGTTTTGAATTAAAATGTGTTTCTTGTGGGATGGGGGGGATGGGGGGGATGGGGGTGGGAGGGATACTGGGATCCGTGGTGGTGGGAAATGGGCACTGGTGGATGGATGGGTATTTGATCATTGTATA